GACGACGACGAAGAAGAACAAATTTGAGAAGAAGAAGAAGAAGAAGTAGAAGAAGAAGAAGAAGAAGATGAAGAAGAACAGGAGGACGGCCCGAAGAAGGGGGAGCACGAGATCGAGGAGGAGGAGGAAAAAGAGGGGTTGTGGTGCACACTTACCTCAAGATGGCGGTGGAGATGGCAGGGTGGAGTGCCGCATCCTCGTGAGCGCACACAAGTGCTCGTTGTTGCGAGGGCGACACTATTAGGCAACCGGGGCCGGGGCGGGGGCGGCAGTGGGCGCGGGAGGGCGCTACCCCCCCCTGTAGTGATTTGAATTTGAAATTTGAATGTGGCCCGATATGGATCATCGATCGGATTGATCGGACGGCCCAGGTCGGACCTTTTTTGTTTCATTTCTTTCAGGCCCTGTTGACCTTTGACTGTGGGGACGGAGGTTCAGCCGGACCCCTACACTTAAGCACTGCCCTCCCATGCCACCCTAAGCCCCTAAGAGACCTGACCCCTATTTCCGTCGGGGCCGGACCTTTGTCGGACACCGGACCAATGACCCGGTACTCCGGTCGGACGTCCGGGACGTCCCGGGGTGGCCCGGACGTCCGGGTCGGTAACCTAGTAAAAATATATAAAACAGAATATTTATGTTTTTGTAATTTTCTGCAACATTTCCCCACCGCACATGGGGTCAAAAATGTACCAAGAGGAAGGAAAGAGCAAGTGGAGCACACTAACTTTCAAAATACCGCAAATCAAAATTTTCTGAAAAGCTAAAAAAATAAATAATTAAATAGATAAATAAATAAGGAGGTGGAGGAGAGTGAAGAAAAAAGTTCATGATTTTTCAAAAATTTCGACAACATTTCGTTACCCTCATTGGGTTGAAGTGTGTCGTTAAGAACATAACTAAGTAAAACGGAAAAAAATTGCCAACACTTCGCTACCCCCAAGGGGTCAAAAGGTGCTGGACGAAGAGAGTAGGGAAAAAATATTAAAGTTGGGCCTACTTACCGGGTTATGCTCTTATCACCTCGTCAAGTAGGTTCTCTGCATACGAAGTTAAAAAAAAAAGGGAGAAAATATAAAATTTTCAATTTTGGCAGCACTTCGTTACGCCCAATAGGTCAAAATGTGCGCCGATAACTGAAATAACTAAGTCCTAACAAGATATTAAAGGTGCCACAAAAAAATTGAATTTTCAGAATAAATAAAATACAATTGAAAATAAATAAAAACTGAGAAAAGAAGTAGGGAATAAGATCATTCGATTTTTTTGGAGAATTTTTTTTTATATAAATAAAAGAGAAAGACAAAAGAAGAAAAACAGGTCTGCGGGCCTAGCTCAATTGGTAAGGCACAAAAGTTGCATTCATGAGGTCATGGGTTCAATCCCCATTGGCCTCACGTACGCGTCTGGGCAAGCTTGGTGTTCTACCAGCTAGAGATAACCTGTTGGCCCCCCAAGCCAGCACTGGCAGGACCTTGGTTAATGTTGTTGGTTGCTATGCAGCTACAATATTGGCCATTAGATACCGCTATCCTCCATCGGCAATGCCTGCCCACCCCTCGTCACCGTGATGAGGGACTGGTACAACCTTGCTCTCACACCACTGCTGTGGTGCCAACCTACCCTGTGGGCTGGTGAGAGATCCGGGTTGGTTGGTGTTCCCCTGTACTACACATACACTATTGAGAGGATGAGATAGATGAGTACTAGCAAGAAAATGAGATAGATGAGAAAATAATATAGCCTTTTAAAAAAATAATTAAAAAAAAAAAAACAGAAAAAATCAAACTTGGGTTGGGGGAGGATGAAAAAGTGATACAGAAAGAGAGAAGTAGGTGAGAAAGAGAAAAAGAGTGAAGAGGGAGGTGAGGGAGATGATGGGGTTGTAGTTGGGGGAGGGAAGGGAGGGAAGGGAGGGAAGAGGGTGGTAGAATGAGAGAAAAAGATATGGAAAAGGTGAAGAGGAGTGAAAGAGATTAGTAGAAGATGGTGAGTGGGAAGGAGAGGAGAGACAATGATGGTGGAAGATGAGAGAAGAGGGAGGCAAAAGGAGGGAGTAGTGGTAGAGTTAGAAAATATGATTAGATTGTGTAGTAGGGAGAGAGAAAGCGGGGCTGGGAGAGAAGGTTAGTGAAAGAGAGGTGATACCAAGCTCTTGGTTGGCTGAGAGCAACAACATCACCAAGATTCACACGATCTTGGCCTTCAAGGTGCTGGCAGCCTGCTGCTGCAGCAAAAAATTAACAATAAAAATAAGGGGAAACTACCTGGGAGTCAAAAATACGAGTTATTACTTCACTACGGGCAAAGATAAAGTTTTCAGTTGCAGTTCGGGCAATGTATACAACCCAGCTTTCTGGCCAGGTAGGGTGCCCGAAGTGCAATTGTCAACTGTATCTTGCCCTATAGTGCAATTACAATTCATTTTTGTGCCTCTATTGAAGTTACCCCTAAAAAAATAATATAGGGCTGGCTGGATCTTGATCACCACCCTGATTGCACTGTCGCGCAACCCCTTAGCCTGGGGGGTCTTCACTGCTGCCAAACTGTCGCTACAGCAGTAGAAAAAATAATCATCATGATCATCATCATCTGGGTTTGATGAGATCTTGATCGGCCACCCAGATCTCACAGTAGTGCAGCCCCCTAGCCAGGGGGGTCTTCAAGATCTTCAGCAAGCTGCCATGTGGCACTGCAGATGGCCACGTGCACAGGCAGCAGCGGCCACGACGTGAGGGGGGTGGGGTTAGGGGACGCAAATAGCAGTCCACCCGCTGCTGTCGTGTTGGCCAGGTGGGGTGGTAAATTGTTGGTGTGGCACTCTTCAACAGCAATGTGCCACACTACTAGAACATGTATGGAGTCTTGCCAGTCTATTAAGGCATTGGCTAGGCATGTGCATGGCTGGCAGCTGCCCAAGTTCAAACCCTGCAGCAGCATGCATCTCGGATCTTTGATATATATAATCTGGTGGTGGGGCGGGGCAGCGGGCAGCGTGGCGCGCGTGCATGTGGCGGCCTTGGCACGCGTTGTGACGGTGCTGTCCGTTCTCACCACGTGTCACTCTCTGCGCACTGCACTGTTTCCCCATATGTTTGCTCTGAAAATGGCCGAAAACAGGCCAAAATCCCGCTATAAAAAACAAAAAACAAAAAAAAACATTTTCCCCACTTGCGGGATGGGGTGGGTGGGTGGGAGCGAGGACCATTCCTGCTCTGATACCGGTGTGACAGACCCACCAAGATGGCGGTCCGTCAGGATCAAGACGAAGGGATGAGGATGAGGAGATGGAGATGGAGCTGGAAGGGACAGTGCAGCTCCAATGCAGACTCAACACACACGTACTCCAAAGTGTGCGGATGACGAATGGGCTGAAACAAACTGCAGCTGGGGAAAACCCCCAGCGGACTGACTGGACTGGACTGGCCTTGCCTGGTACTGACAGTGGTACCGGGCAGTACTGGACTGGACTGAATGAGCACACGGCCTGTGGGGTCAGGCCACAGCCTGGTCCCACAGGCTGAACAGGCAAAATAGCCTGGTAGCCCTGGCTGTAGGCCACACAAAGATTTGCTCTTGTTGGTGTTATGCAAATTTTCCGAAAAGAAAGTACGAGTTTTTAATTTTCACCCAAAAGCAAATGAAGATTATTAGTGTCATTGACTGCGTGAGGGCTGTTTTCTGCCCCTCTTTCCCAGCAATGCTTCTGTTCTTCACACTCTTCTCCTAACAAAACGTAGGAGAAGAAGAGGAGGAGGACGAGGAAAAGGAGGAGTAAGAAATTCATTGTTACATCTGCCACACTAGATGAGTTGCTAAGAAATTCTTAAAAAACTGAAAAAAGAAGAAAAAGCCTGACCTTGTGGTGATAGTGCGCTCTGATCGCTATTTGTGCAGGCACACACACACACACACACACACACAGGGAGAGAGAGAGAGAGAGA